GCAATGTAACGCGGCAGTAACGTATAGAGACCTCGGCTTGTAACTATACTCTAATTACTATTTTGAAAATTATAACGCTTTCAATTACTCCGTTACTAAAAAAGTAATCAAATGACAGTAACGCGTTACTAAGTAATGCGTTACTGGCCAACCCTGTTAATGTGTATTCTTTTTTTAGCACCTGATTACAATTTCTACAAAATCATTTTTGAGACCTTCCTGGCAGGTTAAGATTCATAAATTGTGCTGTTTGCAGTGTTACAAAGTTGTTAGTCCATGCCAGCTTTCTTATATTATAACTGGTGTTTGTAGGAACACTTTAGTAATCACAGGATGAATGGGCGATAAACAATCAGTAAAACAACGATTTCGATGCTAAACTATTGCATAATTTTAAATACGATTTGTAGTCAGTGGGTTCTAAAGTTACCATTGCGACCAGCTATAATCATAAGAAAATGCCATCAGATAAAAAAACGACTTTACTCACTCGTTAAGTGTGGTTTTCATCCTCCATGCTAAATCTCTTCGCTGTGTGTGTTCGAAATCTCCCTTAGGTGGTGATAGCTGTTTTTAATGCCTGACCAAAAGTTACTGCGAACCTGATACTACTACCACTACTTTTTGTAGAAATTGTAATCAGGTGCTAAAAAAAAGAGTACCCACTACAATGTCTTTACATCAAGGACCCGATCATGGAACACTGCACAGTACAACCGCAGCGTTGAGCTACTTGAGTCTGTTCAGTAAAGAGTGTTTTGACTGGTGGATTAAAAGCTCACCGCGATTGGCTGAACGGAACATCCTCCAAAAAAAGATATTTATGAATCTTAACCGGCCAGGAAGGTCTCAAAAATACCACACACAAATTCAAAGCAGTCCACGCATGTGTGATGATTGATCTGAATAAACAGGGTATGTGCAACTTTGGTGTATAAGACAGCAGGCTAACCGGGTAGCTGTATTTTGTGTGAACGATATAAATCATAATGTGATTTTGTAGAAATTGTAATCAGGTGCTAAAAAAAGAGTATCCATTAAAATGTCTTTACATCAAGGACTCGATCATGGAACAATGCACAGTACAAGCACAGCGTTGAGCTTCTTGAGTCTGTTCAGTAAGGAGCGTTTTGATTGGTGGATTAAAAGCTCACCACGATTGGCTGAACGGAGCATCCTCCAAAAAAATATATTTATGAATCTTAACCTGCCAGGAAGGTCTCAAATATACCACACACAAATTCAAAGCAGTCCACACATGTGTGATGATTTGCAAATGCAGATTCAACGATCCATAAATACATGTAACATCATTCATAAATGTGTGATGAAAATTAATTCAAGAACTTGATATATACATATTTGTGTAAACATTTTAAATGTATTTAGGTAAGATGCATTTGTGTGAGCATTTGGGGAAATATTTATGCTTTTACTTGTGTATTTATGAATTGTGTTTTGAATTTACGAATTGTAAATGTAAACTGTGCTGTGCATTTATGAATTTTGTTTTGCAAATGTGTTATTTTTGAGGCCGATCTGGCTCCATATTTTGACACACTCACCATTATTTGTTGTCATGGTGGAAGGCTGCAAATTACACTCTGCAAACATGCAAACCAGAAAAGCAAGTTAAGCAAATATTTTCCTGTATGTTTTTTCCATGGTTTGTAGGGAATGGAATTTCAGCAGTCCAAGATTTTCCTAGCCAGTGAATCCTCAAAAAAAAAAAACCCCGGATGGAATTAATACACAATATTCAGGTTGGAAACACCTGGGAATTGACCGGGAAATAACCGGGAAGTTGGACTGCAGGTACAGAATGCAAACCACATATAGTCTTCCTAAACACATTTTAGGATAATCCACTCGAATACAAGAGGTTTGTAACATTAGTTATTATACCATGTTTATAATTGTAATAACTGATATAAACTGCAGCATTTTGTACTTAAAGTAACCAGTACACCATAATGCATTCATAACAAAAATACACAGAAAAAAAGTGAATTCATACTTTTATATTAATTTAACATATTTTGAAGACATTTAAAGAGACCAAATATTACCAAACCAACAATCAGTCAGTTATTTAGATAATTAATAACTGGATTACTCAGTGAGCCACATCATTATATACATTACATCATACAATAACACAAAGTGTTAATGATGACCAAACAACATACAAATAATATATTATTATTTACTACTTTCCATTGTTAGGCTGTCAGTATTCAGACTAAATACAGTTTTAGTGAAGAAATAGCATGCATAAATTAATAACTATGACATAATAACATGATAATTCTATGAATCCAGAGGGTTAGAAACTATACTGTAACGTAAACATGCAAAGGATATATTTTTAGCTGATTCTATGCTACTTCGTTTATGTTTAACTTAATCCGACGTATTCGGTCTTAGTTTTGACGTTACAGGTTAACTGACTAAACGTTTTTACAGTGTAGCCTATGCTGCATTAAGTGCCAACAACTCACCTGTTACTTGTTCAAAGTGAAGTGCTGTGGATACTGATGCCGTAGATCTGTTTTAGTCTTTTACTTAGATTTAATTGACTAAATTCCGCTCGGAGAGAGGCCGGTTCTTTTTTTATATATTATTATTATTGTTTTAGTGGGCGACAGTAACACAGAGCTGTTTTCTCTTCGCTCTGTATCCGCCTCATACACAATACATACGTTTCCTTCCCAGGAAACAATCTGCTTCTGCTCACGAACACACCCCTTACAAAAAAACGAAAGAGACTGAACGGGAGTGAGTGGGGGGGTCTTATTATTGTGATTATTTTTTTTCTGTGAAGACCGATGGTTCGGTAGGTTACGTCGAATGACTCGTCTGGCTTTTAGACGGAAGTGTCTCCATGGATTTAGACAGTTATGTAGCGAGGCTACGTGTATGGAAATTGTCAACATTTATGCCAACGTTTTCGAAACCGACTACGTTTTTCTTTCAGGTGTATTTAAAGCTTCTGCTTCTGCTTCTGCTTTTTCAGAAACCTTTTCAATACATTTCTTAGCTTTTTTACTATTCGATGTTTCACTTACCCTTTTTTTTTCATGTTTAGAAATGAGATGAGCCTTGACATGCAATCTCACAATCCACCCATAATTAAGAGGAAAGAGCTTATTAAAACAACACACAGTGGAACAGAAAGTTGAGGCAAATGTATATACTTTAAAAAGGCAGAAATGAATGGCCTTTTGCCCCTTAAGTATTGTCTTGTATTTACATAAAACTCTTTATTTTCAAAAGGTTTAATCATTTAAACATATTTATCTCTAACAGTTATCACACACACACACACACAGACACACACAATCAAGATAGCCATCAAGAAAACCATAGTGGTTTACCAGAGGCAAATGGTCCTGGTTCCTCACATCAGGAACGACTGCACAATCTGGTTCAGTATCTCTTTACAACTGGTTCTCTAAGAGTTTTATTATCATAGAAAGTATTACTTCTTATCATAACATGGTATCAATCATAAACAAGTACCAAAAAGATCAATATGTGTAGTCCTGAAGTCTTGCTTCTTGTTTCAAGTACCCTAAAAACAAATGTTAGTCAACATATATATATATAACATTTGTGTGTCTTTTTTTATTGCTGAAGTGTGTTGAAATTTCTTCTTCTGTATTCTACTGTACAGATGTAAATTTACTTTCCCTTCAGCCTGAGGCTTATTCATTTCACTTTTGGTGTGAAAAGGCTTTATATTTGCCAAAAATATAACTTTTTTATTTTAAAAATAAACAAGCAAGCCCTGTCCAGATTTAAAAAGCAACGCAAAAGTTAAGTAATGCATTACTTTCCATAAAAAGTAACTAAGTAACGTAATTAGTTACTTTTTTATGGAGTAAAGCAATATTGTAATGCATTACTTTTAAAAGTAACTTTTCCCAACACTGTATATATATACACACACATTTACATTCATAGCCGGAATATGATGTCTAAACGTTATTTATTTTCAGTCAAAAGTATAAACACAAAGGTGAAGTTATTCATTTATGACAAACATGTTAGTTTATGACAAAAAGCCACAAATGCATCAAATTACATTCACAGAAACTCAATAACAAACACAAACTTGCAATGTAACATCATACATACTTTTGCACTCTAATCCAGTTTGTGATTCAAACACAGATCAGCACTTTCACACAAATTCACATGTAGTATCTTTTGTGATACATCTGTTGCAAAGCTAACTTGTGCCCTTGTAGGTTTAAGAAAGACTGGGGGTCGAGCAGAAGGGAATGTGCGACTTAAAATAGCACACTGATAAAGTGAGACCTTCAGAAATGCACAGGACACACAATAATGTCATGAACTACTAGTAAATCTAAAAACAGAATGGCACATTTTATCTTGAATTCTTTAAATGTGTCATCCTGCTTTTTTGATTCATGGTCATTGTGAATCCTTAAATCAACATTTTATGGATTAGTTAAACATTGACATGCTCTAGATGGCTGACATGCTATATTTACAGCAGGTTTATGATAACACACCTTTCTTTATTTGAAAAAAAAAATAAAGAGGGGAGTGACAAGAAGAAATGTGTATGAAAAAGTTTGTACTTCTGTTATAAAACTGGAAGAATTGTTAGTTAGGTGAGATAAGTGGATGTTTTACACTGTGCTGTAATGAAAAAAAATATGTCTATGACCCACTCAATCTTTAGTTATGATACTTAGAAGTTTAAAGAGAAAATTGTACAGCATCTGTATTTAAAAAAAAAAAAAACACAATTGAATTAAATGTGGAACAATGCTCCAGGATGGTTTCACTCTTGTTTTTGAGTGTGCTCAAAATACATGAAATCCTGTATATTCAAAATGGGAAAAAAAAGACAAATTTGGAATTATGTAAATTATATTCAGTTAGAGCCTAAATAAGATTTTAAGCATACATTTGTTTCATTGCACCATGATTGATTTATTATTAGAACTAAATACATGGAAATATTCTTAGAAATTTAATAGAACATCTAATAAATAATGTAAAAAAAAATTTATTAATGAAGAGTACCTATTACTTACCATAAGAAAGCAGGCTCCTAATATAACTGCTTTTATTTTCACATCCAAATCCATTGGAAATTGTAAGCCAAAGTTGTCTGCATCAGTTAATGCTTCTGCTTCAAATCCTGTCCACTGTTTACTAATTCGACCAATCACTGAGGACTCATCCAGTGACATCACCTGGCATCAAATAAGCATGTGACTGTTAGATTGATGATCATTTAGACACATTAAATGGTGTAGAATGAAATTTATAAATCAGTTAAAACTTCATTCTGCAAGCACAAAATATGACATTAACAAAATAATCTCATTCACAGCAAAATAGTTGTTTTTATCTAATAGTATACATTTTTATACAATATAGACTACCCATTTAAAATTTGGGATCTCTTATCCTCACCAAGGCTGCATTTATTTTAATTTATTCCTATGATGACAAAGTTGTTTTTTCTGCATCATTACTCCAGTCTTCAGTGTCACATGATCCTTCAGAAATCACACTAATATGTTGATTTGGTGTTCAGGAAACATTTCTTATTATTGTCAATGTTGAAAACAGTTGTGCTGCTTAACATTTTTGTGGAAACTGTTATACCATTTTTTTTTTTTCAATATTATTTGATGCATAAAAAGTTCAAAGGAGAGTATTTATTTGAAAACAACATTGTAAATGACTTTACTGTCACTTTTGATCAATTTAATGCATCCTTGCTGAATAAAATAATTATATTATATTATATTATATTATATTATTATTATAAACCATGTTTGTATTTTTAATTGGCTTTATATTGCCGGACCATTTGTATTATATTATATTGCTACATTATTATATTTTGAACATGACAGTATAATTTATGGTATAATGTATGCGCCATACCTCAAAATTAACATCAGAACAACATTTGCAGTCACAGAACGGCCCCACAATCTTCAGAACAGGTTCTTTTCTCTCATTCTGGATGGTGAATTTCGGCAAGAAAGGATGCCAGCTTTGTATTACATAACCAATAGGGCTGCCTGGAGGGCTCTGAACCTCCAGCTGAAATATATGAGGCAGTACTGAAATGCTAATACAGCAACATCGATATTTTTGCAATATTTATAATCACTTATCATTTTTATTGGTTGCGGTTTGAAACTTCCACATCATTGCATTCTGTTTTTATTCACAATTTGTACAGTGTCCCAACTTTTTTGGAATCGGGTTTGTACATACAGGAATGCAAAGCAGGATGCAAAACATTGGGCTAATATGCACGAAACAGTATGAATGGTGAAGTGGTCATTTTATACTGTACCTCTTGCAGACAGCATGGAAAGCAACAACTACCGCATTTAAGGGGGCGGGATAAAGTCATCACTTCCTGTCCCATGTTATCCTGGATATGAAGCAGGAAGGAGCGCACTGGTCCACAGACCATGCGAGTACAAAAATCGCTCTCCTCAGCAGCAAAAAACACCTGCTGTCCTAAACTATTTTTCACCACATATTGATTATTGGTCTCCCATCCCATGAGAACTGTAAGAGAAAGAGAGCATTTGTAGTCACGTGACAGGGGTTTAGAAAATTGTTTCTAGCGCAATCAGTGGCCAAACATTACCTTCCATTAATTCCACTTTCTGATGAACTAGAAGTTGGTCAACCTGTGATAAGCAGCATTGTAGAACTGACATGAAAATAGGCATAGAGTGTATTATTTGTCCATCTGTACTAATAAGATAACCATAAGTACACTAATGCCACAAACCACATTCACCCACGCAGACACACACACATAC